ATTTAAGGTATATTCCTTAAATCAGGGGTATTGGAGTCTCTGGGAAGAACTCCTGGCTTGCGTCTTGCACGCTGAACCAGAGCGACACCCATATGTTTCAAGTCATGCAGCTTGGGTTGGCGCACACAGCGGGTAAGATTTGCTTGGCAAGTGGCTTCTACACACGCAGAAGACGAAACGGAGCTTTGCTTGGAGGTTCATGGCTAGTTATAAGTGGAGTTATAAGTCCCCTAATATGGGTTATAAATATAGTTACCCTACTTATAACCCCACTTATAACTACCCATGAACCTCCAAGTAAGTGTAACGCATAAAGCTTACGAACCCTGGAGTCCAACTCTTTTTCAAGGGTGCTTAAAAAGCTGGCCGTGGAGGGCCTTAGGATGCTAACGGGTTGGGTTTAGGGATTGTAGGGTTTGGATAGGCTCTGCGATTTAAGTCCAACTTAAGTCCTAGATGAGCTCGATCATAAGCCCTAAACCCCGACTAAACCGAAGGTGGTTAGGGCTACCATGAGCCACTCCTCTTAACGAATCGGGCGGACTTGCCTTAGCCTTTTGCAGGATTCCGGGAAGGCATATTTTGGGGCCTCATGCTGAGAATGCTCGCGTTTAGGGTTTGTATTGGGGTCACCTTCCGTCCGAAACTCCCGTGCTGTAAAGAGCTGGAAGTAACCCAACCCTCAGTTCCCAAGGCCAGATCTCAGAAACCGAACAGCCTGGCGCCCCCAATGTCTGACAGCTGTGGGCTTAGAGCGTAAGCTTTGTAGACTCGGCACAATGAATGTGCTGACTTTCGGATCGACATGTCTGCCCATGCATTGTTCGCATCTTCGGGTTTCATTGAAACATGTCGTTGCCAAGCCGTCAAAGCTCAATGCGGAACTCCCGTTCACTACTAAACCCTAAACCCTGAACCGCCTCGTCTGCTGGGCCATAGAGAGCCCGGTTGGTGGCCTCCTGAAGAAGGGAAATGTCTGGGTCTGGGGTTTAGGGTTTGAGGTTCAGGGTTTGGGGTTTAGAACCTAGGGTCTACGTAGGGGCTAAATTTGTGTTGTGTCGTGGGCCCTTTTCCAACTGGGGGTCACACCTATAAGGGGGTTAGGGCTTCTGGTTCAGAGTTCATGGGTTTAGGGTTTATAGGGTTTAGGGTTTAGGGGTAATTTACGGGTTTAGGGTATAGGGTTTGGCTTTAGTGATTCGAACAGGCTTTGGGGATGTCTTGTACAATGAATGTAACAGGAACCCGAAGGATCAGTTCTACTTGAAGGATCATGGGACTTAGCAAGTAGGGATATAATTAGCTTAACTCTACTTATAACCCCAATCAGGGGACTTATAACCTTACTTACCCTAAACAAACCCTAAACCCTGAACCCTAAACCCTAAACCCTAAACCCTTACTTACTAAGTCCCTGATCCTCCAAGTAGTTATTACAATGAAGCTGCTCGGGCTCGTAAATTAGCCTTGCAGCCCAGATCTTCAAGCCTTCGCGCTTAAAAACGGGGTTTAGGGTTTAGGGGTTTAGGGGTTTAGGGGTTTAGGGGTTTAGGGGTTTAGGGGTTTAGGGTTTAGGGTTTAGGGTTTAGGTGCCTCTACGGACGTTGTGACGAAGTTGATTTGGTACGGACTCACGACGCTGCCCCCACCTGCAGGGAAGCATAAGCGACAAAGGTAATAAATTGATGGATGCTGCACACCAGGGTTTAGGGTTTAGGGTTTAGGGTTTAGGGTTTTGGTTTGAGTGAATCACTGAATCGACATTCTCGCTCCAAGCGGATTTTCGTGTTTCTTGCATGTTACCTGAACCCTTTACATAATTCCGTTGTGCTATCCTTATATGCGAACTACATGGGACCCCTGTATATTTTCCTTGTGGGATTGCTTAGGATTCGTTGATGTGGAGACAAGGTAACCAAATAAGGTCTAGGTCACTTGGAGAAAACATGGGACTTAGTAAGTAAGGTTATAAGTCCCCTAATTGGGCTTATAAGTATAGTTACCTTAGTTATAACCCTACTTACTAAGTCCATGATCCTTTAAGCAGGGGTCTATAGAGACTACACTGCTCAGCAAAATGAATCCTCGCAGGCTTCCGCGCGCAGACGGATCCTCTGAAGCACCACATCCAAAGTCGGACTCGAAGTAAACTGCACAAAAAACCTAGCCCCTGCTTCGGCTTTACAGTAATCTTCAACTCCTAAACCCAAACCCTACCCTAAACCCTAAATCCCAAACCGTAACACTGGACTTCCTTACACCTCTAAGCTCCCAGGGTCGACCTCGAGGCGCTGTGCCAGGACGCTACTGGGTGGCGGCTCTCTCCTACCAGAACTCAGCGAAGCTTCGGGCTTTGGGGGTGTAGGGGCTTAAGGGCTTAGGGTTTAGGGGCTTAGGGTTAGGGATTGAGGGGCTTAGGGTTAGGGGTTTAGGGGCTTAGGGGGGTTTAGGGGTTTAGGGTTTAGGGGTTTAGGGCTTAGGGTGCTCTCTTTGGTCCAGGGGACTGTTGAGTGTGCAGATCCGTATGCCGTCTTTGCTTCCATGCATAGCTTCCCTCGCCATCACAAGCTCCAACACTTAATTCCGATGGTGACCAACCTGTGACATGTTGTTCTTCTTCTTTCTTCACGCTGACATCAGAACTTCCGAGTGCTGGTCTTTACCTGGACCCTAGAGAACCTACCTTTTTGGGGGTTCCTTGCTATGATTTCCCCATCTGAGTCCTGAACAAAACGTCGGTTCCTTTAGGGCCCAGGAGCGGCTTACTGAAGGAATCCTCGACTGGTCGCCTCCCCTACGGCCCGAAGCCCGGGGTTCGGAGGCTGCAGGCTTTCGGGCTGAGGGAACGGGGTTTGGGGTTAAGGGTTTGGGGTTTAGGGTTAAGGGTTTAGAGATGAGGATTTGTGTTAAGGGTTTGGGGTTTAGGGAAAACGGCTTAGGGATGAGGATTGGGGTTAAAGGGTTTAGGGTTTAGTGCCTTTTTCTATACACCGAACCTCCCCACCAACTAAAAGCTTCGAATCCGAGACTGTTAACCCTCGCTCCAATGTCCAAGGCCAAAATCGCCAAGCCTAAGCCCGAAAACTCTTAAGAGTTTAGGCTTTAGGGTTGGAGGGTTGAAGGGTTTAGGGTTTAGGGTTGTGGCAGGAGTCCCTTCAAGAACCCGCAACAGAACCCTTAAAGGAACCCCTTTTCGAGCCCAAAGAGGTGCACCACGAACCCCAAACCCTAAACCC